TTTTATATTAAATAATTATATTAAAATATTTACATTAATAATAGAATAAAAAAATTCAATAATATATAATAAATTATGAACTAGTATTATTTTTTACAAGTTAAATATGGTATTTTATGTATTTTAATAAATTAGAACTCAATAAAATCATTTAAATGAACCCGTTTAATACAAACAATTTAAATATTTAAGGTTTTATGAACACAAAGTTATATTTTTTGACTTTAATAATACACATTTAAATAAAAAAATCAATTAAACAAATGAACGATATAAATGAATTAAATGTGTTGCCAAATGAAAAAGATTTTAGTTTGTGTCTATGTTCGTGCAATCTACAAAGATGTCAACTTTACTTTTTGCCTTCATAATCACAAATAGTTGTTAAGCGAAAAAAAATATTGTTCATACAAAGATAATCGAAAAATTCATTATAATCATTATTTGATCATTGATGAAACCCGTGCTTTAATTGCTTTATTCAAAAAAGCGAACAACATATCACATAAAATATTTTTATATTCAAAAGCCAACCCAACCATTGAAAATAACAAACATGATCTTTATGAATTTTTTTTAATGGGCTAGCTAAGATGAAAAAATACAAAACAAAATTTGATGATTTTGATCAAAAACACACAACAGAAAAAATGAACCAAGTCACTACTAAAGAAAACCAATCTGTATATATTATTGTTACCGATCATATGAAATGTATATTAAATCGGATACAAAAATTTTAAGTTATACAAATACACTGATACCATCAACAAATATCAATAAAATTAATAAAAACGACACTTTGTATAACAAAAGTGAAGAGAGTGAAATTGACCAAATGTTGATTAATGAAATTTTGAGCGCTGAAAGATTCTTTGAAAAACAGAAAAACAAAGTGCTGATTAGTACCTATAATGATGTTGATGTTGGAGATGAATTATTAAATGCACGTTAAACATTCAAATGTGTATTAGAAAGCACCAAAAACAATAATTGGAAAAGTTGTACACTTTTGAAGATGGTGATTTTTTGTATATGATAGAATTGCTTACAAAGAAATTGATATATATATATGCAGTTTTAGAATAATAAAAAGGTTTTTTATGATCACAACAATTTTGTATTAGAAAGTTATTTTGTCGTTTTTGATTATTTATTTAGAAAAACGTGTAATATCACTGATATCAAAAACTTAAATCTGTCAAAATTACGCAAAGAAAAGGATGTGATTATGTCATAAACGGTGAAATGGTT